TTTTTGTGTGATATATATGTGCTTTAGGGTACGTCATGTGTGCAGTTTTGACATGTGTGGATCAATAATGAAAAAGTTGGCATTTTTTTGAATTCGTTGGACGCTTCATTTTGACGCGGACAGTGTCTTTGTGTTAGGGTTTCATAGTGTTTTTTTGTTTTTTTTTTTCGTTTTGGCCTGTTTCCTTTTTTGATGTTTGCACTATGGTCTCATATCGTTTGTTTTTAAAATTTTTGATGAAATTTGCACCGCAATTGCCAACGAAAACGGCAAATATTTGGGGCCCCGTTAACAGTCTCTCGCGCCCGCATAACAAACCAACGAATCAGTAAAGGAAGTACTCACACGGACATACGTGGACTTCTATTTTTGCAAGTTGCAAGGGAGGGGGGGGGGTGTGGGGTGTTGTTGGACTTGGATCCATAGCTTGCTTCACCGCACACAAACCCCAACCTAAACATACTTTCCCATCCATAGAAAATATACATGTATGTTAAAGCACCAGTACATCGGGCACCTGGGCCGCGGACCTGACGCCTCAAATTCTGGAGGCGCGAAACGAAAACGTGACCGTTGATCAAATTTATCAACGGTGGGCCCAGAGTTTGATGTTTCGGCGTCGTTTTCTTGTGGCGATGAGTGTTGGACCGCAAGGCTGGGGCCGTGTACTTGCGGTTTGAATGGACTCGTTTTGTCTAATAAATAGTTAAGGATATACTCCTTGTTTTTTCTTTTCAAGTGAGCCYCCCCCCAGGCAGCCCCCCCCCCCCAAGTCGGAGTTGGAGCCATATCATGCTTCACCACATACAAAGCCCGCACCGAGGGCGTTAAGAAGTGCGGATGAATATATATTTTTTTCTAGTAAATACTAAATAGTTAAGAATATTCTTTTTCACTTTTTTTTCAATGGCGCAGGTGGGGGGACCTCGTGTCAGACTTGGATCCATATCTTGCTTCACGACATACAAAACCTGCACCGCGGCTGCTAAGAAGTGCGCATGATTTTTTTTTTCTAATAATAAGTTAAGAATATACTTTCTTTTTTTTTTGTTCAAGTTGTCACCCCGCCCCCTCCCATGTGACTTGGATCCATATTTTGCTTCAGCAGACAAAATCCGCACCACACCGCTGAGAAGTGCGCATAATTTTATTTCTTTCCTAAGAACACTTCTTTTTTTTTTTCAAGTTTCGCACGAGGGGTCTCAAGTCGGACTTGGATCTACACCACACACCAAATCCGCACCGAGGACGCTAAGAAGTGCGCATGAATATATATTTTTTTTACATTAAGAATGTCCTTTTTTCTTTTTCAAGTTGCTCCACCCCCCTCCCCCCTGCACCCCCCCCCATTAGACTTGGATCCATATCTTGCTTCACCACACACAAAACCCGCTAAGAAGTGCGCATGATTTTTTTTTTCTAATAAATAGTTGAGAGTAAAGTTACCTGGCCAAACGTTTTGGGGCCCCCGGGCTGACCCCCGAACTTTCGGGCATTTGAGGTTCTGTTCGGGGTCCGAACACGGAGAGGTTCGGCCTCCGCCAAAGAGTTATTTCGCGGCCTAAATATTTTGAAAAAAAAATTGAATTTTTTTTCTGATGTTAGGTACATGCCTCAAAATTTTGAAGGCATTTCCTAAGCCAAAACAAAATGAAAACTGTCCAAACATGACAAGGTCCAAACATGCTAGCCCACTCACTATTTTTCTTTTAGAAAAAGTTGAAAAACTTTTATTCGGGGCCTAGAAAACATTATTATTTTTTGAATTTTTTTTGGTAAGTTTTTGCATCATGTGAAATACATATCTATAAATTTTCAACGGTGAAGTCCCACCGCCCAAGTTGAGTTTTCTCAACGCTGAGGTTTCTATCACGTGTGGCATGGTGGGACGGAGCTCTGTCGTTGGTGTATTGTGAATCTAATGGGTCGCAAATACAGGAGAATAACCTATTAGATTTGGCCATTTTGTAGATTTTTTGTTTGACGTGAAATCCGTTTTGTAGAATGCTTTGGCCCTTTCAGTGCGGGCAGGAGACCATTTTGAGTTGAGAAAACTACCCCCCCCCCCCGCCCCGGGGCCTCGACCCACTAGCATTGTTTAAAACGGTGTGGCGCTCTTTTCTAATTTAAAAACGCATGAACAATGTTATTTTGCATTAAGGCAGTAGCAAAGAAAAGGGCCAAAAAAATGAAAAATCATGGGACATGGCATTGATATCATGACAGTTCACCCTATGCATCCACACTTCCACCAACCCGGTACATCTGCATGCAAGCTTCCCACCGGCCTGTTCGCAGTCTTCCACGAAAATTTCAATATTCTCAATTTTTGCAAAAAAAAGATAGCAAGGCGAGAAGCTTCACCCCCCCCCCCCTTAAGAAAATCATAGTATTGAAGCGTCGCACCAGCGCAAAGTGGCCGACAAATGATTTAAAAAAAAAATTGTTGGCCCATGGAAAGTTGCCTCCACGAAAACAAAGATAATTGACACTAGCAGTCGATATGCTACTGGATCAACGACTGACAGATGTCATGGACGGTCGTACGTGATCGAAAACGGAGGAGCACAAACGTAACTCGGACGTAGTGGGTCAAGACCCAGGTAGATTTCTCAACTTATATGCCTTTTTTTTTTTTTTTTTTTAAACATTATTACATCCTGAAACGAAGGAACTCTGACAGTTGTGTTTGACTCTCTGGCATGAAACTTGTTTCCTTTGGGCAATCAACGTATTTAGCCATCCATGCTGTCTCTGTCCATTTTACAAATAGTGACCTCCTGTCCTCTCACCACGGGCAGTATCCCTTTTCCACGGAGACATTCACTCTGACTTTGCCAGACGTGTTTCATTTCTCCAAGTTACGTTATCAAAACTAAGGAGAAGACTCAGAAGAGTTGTTTCTAATATTTTTTTCAGTTTTTTAATTTATTGTTTCAAATTTATTAATGTCGAAATGATATTACACCGTTGTGTTTTCTAAACTCAACTTGGGCGGTGGGACTTCACCCCAGGGCGTTTGGCGAAAAAAAAATCGCCAAAGATATTGTTGATAAAAACATCCTCGCCCAATTACTAATTTTAATTATCGTTTTATTTTATTTTATTTTTATTATTATTATTTGTTTTTTTTTCATTTTAAATTTTATTTCAAATTAGGTAAAAAAATTGGATGTAACGCTGAGAGAAAAGTTGTTCAGTTTATTTTTATGCAGAACATATGTTTTTTTCAGATTTGTTGTTTTTGGGGGGGGGTGTGTTCGTCGCGAATGGCCGAATGCGTCTACAGGAGGATGATCCGGCTAGCAAAGGGGTAGGATACAAAAGAGTTTGTGTGGTAGTTGAGGGACCCAAATCCTGTTGTGCAGTACTCGTGATCCCTCGGTCAATATTTTACATGTATTACTCAAAAAAGTAAGGAGATATTTGTTTCCCTCCTCTCCTTAACACGGGGCATGCCGGTGTAAAGGAAGGTCCCGCCAAAATCTTTTCAATCTGGGGTATAACCAATCCCGAAAGAGGGTGGGATCGACCATAGGCCCACTGGATAGAAGATTTCAGTATTTTGCTTGTTGTTGTGCAATTGTCTCATTGGGTGGAGCCTCCTTCAATCACGGAGTATATGGAGGGCGTCATGATCACTGCTGGCAAAAGTCAAGTTTATTCTAGAAAAATGTGGAAGTTACTTTGTTCACTGTTGTTGGAACCACTACCGTCATCTGATGGTTGGGATGCACTCTTCAACAATTTTCGCCGGGAGATCTCCGTTTTTGTTTTCTTGTTTTGTTTTTTTTTGTTTTCGCAGCCCAGAAGTTCACAATGAACCTGTCAGGCCTCTGCTACAAAGTGTCCCACTGGATTGGCCACATTCTTATCCCACTGCTAATGGGCCCACGCTCCAGGGGGTCAAACATTTGGCGTTCAGCTCGCCCGTTCGGCCTCGGCCAAACGCCAGCTACCATGGTTGAGAGCAGGGTAACCGACGTTCAGGACGGGCCGAGCGCCCGACCCCGAACGCCCAAACGTATGGGACCCCTTGGGGATGCGTTCGGCCGTTCGCGCCGAACGCGGACCCAAAAAAAAAAAAAAAAAAAAAAAAAAAAAAAAAAAAAAAAAATTCATGAAAAAAATCTGAAAACAAGATATAATACGGGCCATAATGACAATAAAAAGGCCTGAAAGGCTGTCCTGTCCAGATTTGACAGATAATTGAATTGGTTGGGCTTAAAGAACTAGCCTTTTTAATTAAAAAAAGAAAAAAAAGATAAATTAAACAAGATATGCCTGAACATTACATCCGAATGCCTTACCAAATTTGAAATAAAAATAAAATATCGAAAATAAATACTAATAATAAAAATAAATATAAATAAAAAGAGAATTACATTTAGTGACTGAGCAGGCATGTGTTCGACACCCCCATCTTTGGCGATTTTTTATTTTTTTTGTATAACTAAATGCCCTAAAAATTTACAAATGTGTATTTCACATAATAAAAAACCCACTAAAAAATTTTCAAAAAAATAATAAAATTGTTTAGACCCCGAACTAAAGTGAAAACAAAAAGTAAAAAGTGAAAAAATATGTGGGCGAGCACATTTTGACACCGCCATCTTTGGCGATTTTTAATTCTTATTTGCATCAGCCAAATGTCTTGAAACTTTACAGGCATGTACCTCACGTCATAGAGAACTTACGAAAAACAATTCAGAAAATAATTATTATTTTTAGGCCCCGAAAGAATTTTTGGCGGGCGCCGAACGCCGTCGGGTTCGAACCCCATACACGACCCCGAACGCCCGTACGTACGGAGGTGTGCCCAGGGACCTCCGTACGTACGAGCTGGTGACCCTGGTTGAGAGTATAATTTTTATTTTATTTTTAAGTTGCATCTGAGGGGTCTCACGTCAGAATTGGATCCTTTTCGACCGTGAAATTTAATAAAATTATTTCAACCGTGAAATAATTGTCGCGATGTTTTGGCGCATTCACAATTTTTGCCACTTTGCTATATGTCGGCCAAAGGAAACAGTATTGCAACCTCACTCATTTCTTACTTTCAGAAGAATGCATGAAAAAATCTAAAAATTAGAAGGCCTACGAACTTCGTTTTGGTCTTTTCAGAAGAACATAAATAAATAGAATATCATTTTGACCATGAAATCGTCGCGCCAAGTCGACGCTTTTTCGATTTTCGCCACTGTGCGATATCTGATCCAACGGAAAAAATACTGCAGTTTCGGTGATTTTTCGAGCTCAAAAGAATATAAGAAAAACTCTGAAAATATTAGGGCATGTAGTTTTTGTTATGATCTTTCTGGGAAAAAATATTAAAATATATATATCATCAATATTCAAACAGAGTTGTTGGTACCGTAGGCAGAGAGGGAGAAGAGGACAACAAACGAGGGGCTCTAACGACTTGTTTCATCGGAGTTTCCTCGACTCATCATGAGGCTGAACCCTATATATATAAAACATATATATATGTTATGAAGAAAAATAAAATAAACAACATTTGTTTAAGCATTACATCCAAATTATTTACCAAATTCGAAATAAAAATAAAACTAATAATAAACATATGTGTAACATCGTGTTCGGGTTCGATCATCGAACCCGAACATTCAGGACCGAACGCGGAGGAGCGTTGAAACTCTCCGAACGAAAACATAAAAATATTTCAAAAAAAAAAAAAAAGTTCTCTAAAAAACTGA